GGGGGGGGGGAGGAGGCCATGACTCCCAGTCCTATGGTGTCAAGCACTTGTTGTGTGAGACCCTAAACCCCGAACCCTAAACCCCAAACCCTAAACCCCAAACCCTAAACCCCAAACCCCAAACCCCAAACCCCCAGCCCCAACCCTAAACCCTCAACCCCAAGCTCATGTACTCCTCAATGAAGGGATCTTGGTCTTGCTGCCTCTGCGTTCCTGCGCAAAAACCCTCAGAGAAGTCTCAAGGCCCCCATGGAAGCCCCCCAGGTTTAGGGTTTCGGGTTTAGGGTTCAGGGCTTATTTGAAGTTCATTTAGAGGGTTTGTTTCGAGGGTTTAGTGGGGTTTGGGTTTCAGGGTTGAGGGTCTAGAAGAGTTCGGAGGGTTTTGCGTTTACGGGAATCCTTAAACCTGCAACCCAACACACCAGGCAATAGCAACAAATCCCAAACTAATCAAGCCCCATTATGGGCCTCATCCCCTCCCAACGCCCCTCAATCCCTAAACTCTCAAACGTCTCGAAACTTGTCAGCAGGCTTCAGCCCTAAACCCTAAATCTCAGTGCAGCGCGGGTGGCAAAAACCCGAAGCCTAAACCCTAAACCCCAAACCCTAAACCCTAGTCCCTAAACCCTAAACCCGTCCTTTTCCCAACTCCCGCCCCTTTCACACCCTTCGCCTCAGGAGTCCGGCGTAAGTTCGGCCTCTTGGGGGCAGAAAGCAGGTTTCCACTAAGCGGAAACCCTAAACCCCGATGCCCAACGAGCCGGATCCTTGCTGCAGAGCCCTGAACCCTAATACCCTAATACCCTAATACCCTAATACCCTAAACCCTAAACGCGCCTCTTCAGTCGATAAGACGCCACAGCACGCCACCACCATCTTCTTGTTTGACCCGGAAGGGTGGCTGGCTAAGCTTTGATACTGTTAAAGGGGTATAAGGCTGGACCCATAGAAGGGACCCTTAATCTTAGTCCCCTAGATCACCCATATTTAACCTACCTAAATAACCCCTAAATAGCCCGTGAGTTCTTTTGGAAGGCTCCCTCCTTTCGTCCCTTGGTACTGGCACTCCTGGGGTTCCCCCACCCTAGATCCTAAGCTTCTGAGACCCGGAGTAGACCCTTATTCCTTGTTTAGGGTGTTCTAGGTTCCCTTACAAGCTCCTTTTTTTGACCAAAAAGGACAAAGGTTTCTTATTCCTAGGTTTTCCGATGTTGCGTCAGCTGCCCGAAGCAAGGCAAGATCAAAGTGTACGCCATGGCACTGTACTTGGACTGCCGGGCTCTGTGTGCAAAGCATGCTGTGTGGTAGCTGTGAGTAAACCCGAAACCCCAAACCTTAAACGGTCTGCCCTTGCGCATTACGCCCAAAGTCTTGAGACAAGCGCTTTCACCGAGGTTTCAGTGCTGCATAATACCTCGCGCGTGCCGCGATAGTGTTGTTGAGGACACCCTAAACCGCAAACCCTAAGACCCTTATACCCTGACGCCCTACTACCCCATTACCCCCATACCCCAATACTCTAATACCCTAATACCCCAAACCCTCATACCCTAATGCCCTGGTACCCTAAACCGAATGCGGAGCCTTGCCTGGCGCGAGCGAGCTCTGCTCGATGCCAAACCCTCAGCCCCAATACCGCTTTAAGACCGTAGTTGAAGCCCAAACCCGAAACCCTAAACCCCTGTTTGTTGCCCTAAACTCGAGAAAGGCCTTTTCTGTGGCCTAAACCAGAAAAGCCCTGTAATCCCAAAAACCCTCAACCCTGAACCCTAAGCCCTAGAACCCCAACCCTAAAACCCTCAACGAAACACTTAGCAGTAGATTGGGTATCCTTGAGCCTTTTTGGGTTCCTATTTTCCCTATAAAATCTCTTCAAGGTCAACCTCTGGTTCCCTAGAATACTGGACAACTAAGTACCCCAAACCCTAAACCCAGAAACCCCTTTTTTGCCCTAAACCCTAAACCCCATAATCCCCAAAACCCTGAATGTTTAGCTCGAAACAGGAGGAGAGTATTACTTTCCATAGCGAATCCCTTATAACCTTTAGTTCCCTGGACTACTCCCGAAACCCTAAACCCTAAACCCCAAACCCCAAACCCCAAACCCTAAACCCTAAACCCTAAACCCCAAACCCTAAACCCTAAACCCTAAACCCTAAACCAAGTACAGGAGGAGAGCAGCAAGCTTTGGGAAGCCCCGTCGGTGGATCTGCGCAAGATCCTCGAAGAAGCTCCTGGCTGCTCGGCCACACGATATCCGGAGCTTGGAATGTTTTGGACCCTTTTAGTTTCGGGTTTAGGGTTTAGGGTTTAGGGTTTAGGGTTTAGGGTTTAGGGTTTAGGGTTTAGGGTTTAGGGTTTAGGGTTTAGGGTTTAGGGTTCAGGGTTCAGGGTTCAGGGTTTAGGGTTTAGGGTTCAGGGTTCAGGGTTCAGGGTTTAATTCGGGTTTAGGGTTTATGATGACAGTGTGTGATCGTGTGTGTCGACTCACTTCCAGGCATATCCCAAGCTCCTGGTTCAACCCTAAAGTTGTGCAGGACCCTAAACCCTGAACCCTAAACAGGAGAGGAACAAAGCCCTAAGCCCGTTCTTTGTCGGACCTTACCGACCGGGAGGCCTTGCGACTTATCGGCTTTCAGGGTTTAGAGTTTAGCATTAGGGTTTAGGGTTTCGGGTTTACGCTTTAGGGTTTAGGGTTTAGGGCCCCATCGCTTAGTAGTAGAGTAGGCCACCTTTAACCTTTTTGGGGGAATAGAATCCCCTCATAATTCCAAAGGTTAGCCTTTAGTTCGCCTAGGTACTGGACAACGAAGCATCGCCTGTATCTGTAGACCTCCTTTTCTACACCTAAACGAAGCGGTAAGCAGAAACAAATCAAGTGGAATTTCCCGCCGGGTCCCAGGTCGTGCCAGTTTGAGCATTGCCTGGAGCTCAGAGTTCGGCCCTACGTAAGGTTTTTTCTACGTAAGGTTTGGAGATGAAAAAGATTTTGCCTTTTGTTGCTGTGGGTTTTTAATGGAAATTTTAAACCTTTAACTTTAAACCCTCCATAGGAAATCCTACGCAGAGACGTCAAGAGGTGCAGAGCTCGTAGATTAGGCGTGGCGCCCAGCTTGGCCCAAGCTTGGCCTGCAGTCCGGATGACATGACCGGTGACAGTGAGGCAAAGACGCGAATGCACAATGCAAGCAGGCCAACAAGCAGATGCATGGATACATTTGTATCTTTTTCTAGATATGCACGTATTTTTGAAATCTGGAAGCCGGCAAACTTACAAAGGCTTCAGGAGCGAACGGCAACGACCGTTTTAAACCCACCTTCAATCAAGCTCAAACACTGAGCCCTCTAGTTTACCCTAAACCATCCTAAACCCTAAACCCTCCGGTTTTTAGTCTACAGGGTTTAGGGTTTCGGGTTTGGGGTTTAGGCTTACAGTTCAGTGTTTCGGGCTAAAACCCTCAACACGGTGCCCCTTGTCCCCTCGTATGGCGCATGGATGACCCTGAGCGCCGCATCTTACAGCTGGAGCTCCGTTTAAAGGAGCGCGAGGCGGCGCCTGGGGGGGATTAGGGTTTAGGGTTTAGGTTTTTTTTTTTTTTTTTTTTGCCACCCGCTTAGCTGACCAGGGTTTAGGGTTTAGGGTTTAGGGTTTAGGGTTTAGGGTTTTGGTTTACTTTTTGGCGTTCCTTTTTGGACATATTCTCCTATATGCCTGGGATGCCAATCTTTTAGTTCTCGAGGGTCCTGTCAAAATCTAGGGTTTAGGGTTTAGGGCTTAGAAGGGTTTAGAAGGGTTGAGGGTTTGGGGTTTATTGGGTTTATAGGGTTTATAGGGTTCATGGGGTTTATAGGGTTTCAGGGTTTTTGGGGTGATTGAAATCACGGACCGTGCACTTCAAAAGAATCCCCGTGAGGCGCAGCTGGCCTCCGAGCGGGAAAGATGCGACAAGGCGGGGTGGGGCTGGTCTCGGAACTGTAGCATGTTTTGGTCGGTGGAGGTGGGGTTTAGGGTTTAGGGTTTAGGGTTTAGGGTTTAGGGGTTAGGGGTTTAGGGTATTTCAGGGCCTAGGTGCGAAGTTTTGGAATTGAAGGAAGCCCCTGCCTCATGACGCCATGTTGCCAAGCTTGTGTAGCACCTTTGGTTCAGATGCATTTTGTTTTGCTAGGAGGACCGGGAGCAGGCCCTTTTTCTCCTTTCTTTAGGGTTGGGGTTCTCTTATAACCCCCTTAATAATACCAAAAAGGGTACCCTTATTTTATTCCTAGGCGACTCCCGGGTCTAGTTTGTGTGCACTTCCAAGCATCGATTTTAACACCATCCAACATGGACACCCTTGTTGAAGGGGCCTTTTCTACAACAAGCCCTGAGGATCCATGTACCTCTGTAGTATATACTTGGGCCTTAGGGTTTCTATATATAGTAGCTTTAGGGCCCAAGTATGTACTATATCAGTAAGTCCCTATTAGTGTCCAGGGGAATCGCGGAGACCAAGAAGCTACTATTTGCTCAAGAACCCGGCAAAAAATGAACGATAGTAATCCCTATACGACCTTATCAGTTTGCTTAAGAACCCCCAAACAATAAGGCGGTAGGCATCCCTATACTACCCTTGCAAAGGATACTTTTTGCCATATATATATATATATATGTATATTGCGTATATATATATATATGTATATATATATATATATATGTATATATATATATATATATATATATATATATATTTGAGGTTCTTAAGCGTTAGTAGCCATGCTTGGATACTGCAGCCCCCCCTTGAGGCCAAGAGAAAGGTCCGACAGCTCCTTGCAAAGATCTCGGAGCGAGACCGGAAGATTGCCAACCTCAGTAGCAAGTTAGAGGCCAGGGCTTTAAGGGTTCAGGGTTTAGGGTTTAGGGTTGGGCCGTCAGCGCAACGCGGTTAGGGGGTTTCGGGTCTATAGGCTTCAGTGCTTATGACTTTGGAGTGTATGGTGCGGAGGCCCTTCCCGGTAGCAACACGGAGGTCTTACGGAATGCAGCTTTTGGTTTTCAGGTTCTACGAGTAGTTTCACGGGCCCTTGATATGGCCCCTTACCTCCTGTAAAGGTTTCTGAAGTATGGGCCCTTGGGTTGTATGTGAGGTATATAAGGTGTATATAAGGGGTCCGCTTCTAGGGCCTATAAGGGCCCATGTAACTATCCTTAAGCCGATGCAGAACTCGCAACCCACGGCAGAGAAACAAGGCGACGTAGCAAACGCAATGCGCGCAAAAGCGTGCAGCAGCCGTCCTAAAGTGATGCACACAAAAGCGCGCAACAGCCTTCCTAACCCTAAACCTTAAACCCTAAACCCTAAACCCCAAACTGAAATGCCCTCCAAACCCTAAAGCCTTTCGAAGCTCTGAGCGCTAAAGCCTCGAACATCATACTGGTAGGAGTTAGTAAGGAGCGAAACCTGTTGCTTTTAGACCTCAGAGCTCACTGTTTAGTGTCCACGCTGGCATAAGTATGGAATCGGGAACCAAAAACATGCTACACAGGTTTCGGTACCAAACTACTTCTACAAGAATGCTCTACGTTCACCATGGGGGTGCTGTAGGTGGCGTTGAATTTGCAGGGCTCCTTGTGAACGGAATCGCAATCCGACCAAGTACCATCCCTCGAGCGCCAATCGCCCACTTTGGACCTGCAACTCTAGAACCCTAAACCCTCCAACCCTATATGCCCCAAACCCCCAAGAACCCTGTGCTCTCAAAGCCCATAAACTTCAACCCGGAAACCCTGAAACCCCAACCCCCCCCCCCCCCCCAAAAAAAAAAAAAAAAAAAAAATAATAATAATAAAACTACACCCTAGTCCCCCTAAACCCTAAACCCTAAACCCTAAAAGCACAGGCCGAGGTGGCGTCTCGGAAGTCCGGAGGGCATCTCGGGCTCCATAAGTAGACGAGATAACTGTTCTGGAACTTGCGAGAACTGCGACAGCAAAGCCAAAGAGTAAGCCCTAAACCCTAAACCCTAAACCCTAAACCCTAAACCCTAAACCCTAAACCCTAAACCCTAAACCCTAAACCCTAAACCCTAAACCCTAAACCCTAAACCCTAAACCCTAAACCCTAACCCTAAACCCCAAACCCTAAGGTACGGCGCCGTGAATGGCCAGCAGGCTGAGGCAGTGGACCTGGCCAGGCAGCGCGCAGAGATCGTGGCACAGCTGGAAGACCACCTGGCGCAGATGCGGCAGGACTTGGGCCCTTTAGGGCTTAGGGTTTAGGGTTTAGGGTTTAGGGTGCGGTGGCACGTCTCAGGTGTTTCACTCCGAAGGACGTGGATTCCCAAACCCTGAAACCCTCACCCAATACTGCCAGTAGGCACTGAATTGCATAATGCAAGTGGTTCAGGCACTTGAATAGGGAATACTTGGACCTTAAAGTACTTCCTATATCGGGACTTTAGGGCTGCTGAACCCTAAACCCTAAACCCTAAACCCTAAACCCTAAACCCTAAACCCTAAACCCTAAACCCTAAACCCTAAACCCTAAACCCTAAACCCTAAACCCTAAACCCTAAACCCCCGGTGTGGCCCCAACTGACCCCTAAGCGAGATGCCATGGTGCCGTTCATGGAAGGACTTGCTGGAATCGGAGTACGAGATCCAAGAGCTCGAGTCTCGACAGGCTTCGAAGGAGGATGGGACCCTAAACCCTAAATCCTAAACTCTAAAACCTCAACCCTCCCGAGTTGCACTCTCGACTTTTAAACGTTTGCATGCTCTGTCTGCTTTTTGCGCCGCTTTGGGATAGTGTCCCTTGATGACCCAGCCCTGGAAGGACCCAAAAAGTAGAACCGCCCCCCCCCCCCCCCCCCTTATGCCAACAGTGCTTAATGCGGATTATAGGATTATAGTACCCCCCCCCATGTTAATCCCATTAAGGACTGTTAGCATAAGGGGAACGCTCCCAACCTAGGAACCGTTGAAGAGATCTACTTGTTTTTGGACCCTCCCAGGGCTCCGGGCGAGGGTAACGCGAGCCTAAACCCTAAACCCTAAACCCTAAACCCTAAACCCTAAACCCTAAACCCTCAACCCTCAACCCTCAACCCTCAACCGCATCACAGCACGGGCGAGGAGGAGCTCAGCGTCCTGGCGATTGCCGATCGCAGCCCCGAACGCATGCAAGCCATGGCCATGATTGGCCTTCAGATTCAGGACGGTTTAGGGTTTAGGGTTTAGGGTTTTGGGGTTTTAGGGTTTAGGGTTTAGGGTTTAGGGTTTAGGGTTTTAGGGTTTTAGGGTTTTAGGGTTTTAGGGTTTTAGGGGTTTAGGGTTTTAGGGGTTTAGGGTTTTAGGGTTTTAGGGTTTAGGGCTTCACGGTTACGGCAAAAGGGTGTAAGACCCTAAGCCCTAGATGCGCAAAAGCAGGAAATCCCCTAGGTCCTCAAACCGTGCCCGAGATCTAGCTCAGTAGCGTAAGGTTCCAGTGTACTACTGTGGAGTACTACTATTTGCTTAAGAATCCTCCAAAAGTGAGAACATTTTCCTTAGTGTAATGGCAAAAGAGGGATTCTCTCTCTCTCTCTCTCTCTCTGTCTCCGCCGTTGCATCCAAGATAGGGATTATTATCTTTCATTTTGGGGGGGGGATTTTAAGCAATTAGTAGTGTAGCTAGTTTGGGGGCTAGAGCACACTGTTTTCCACGGTCAGTTTTTGCGAAACTCGAGGAAAAGAAGCGCTTCGGAACAGAGATGGCGCACAAGATCCAGGTTTCCGACCGGAGTTGAGGGGATGTTGCGACTTCGCTTGCCCTGAAACTTACTTCGCCTTTAGTTGAACTTTAAACTTTTTGGGCTTCCTTATTTAGTAGGAAAATTAAAGTTTAACCTTTTTTCCCCGTTGGTTATTGGAGAAGTAAGGAAACCCCAAGGGTTGAGGATTTAGGGGCATCCAAAGACCCCAACTCCCAAAGGCCGAGTAGGTCTGACGCAAACTATAAACCCTATGAACCCTATAAACCCTGTAAACCCTATAAACCCTATAAACCCTATGAACCCCATAAGCCCGAAACCCTGCAGACCCTAAGCCCTACAAGGAATACTAGTGAGGAATCTTGTGGAGGATTGAGAGGGTCCAGGGCTTTGGGTTCTTACATGAAGCGTTTCGGCTTGGTGTTCTCCTATAATACGCCCTAGACCCAAACCCCAAACCCCAAACCCCAAACCCCAAACCCCAAACCCCAAACCCCAAACCCCAAACCCCAAACCCCAAACCCCAAACCCTGAACCCTGAACCCTGAACCCTGAACCCTGAACCCTAAACCCTAACCCTAAACCCTAAACCCTAAACCCAGCTGCAGAACAGACAGGCTCTGGAGAGGCAGGTGCATGAGCAGCGCGCCGTGATCGTTGAGCTCTTGCCGCCTGTCCTTCTGAAGCCTAGGGCTCCAGTCTTGCAAGACAAAACGAGCTCGAAAAGGGAGGGTCTATAGGGTTAGGGTTTAGGGTTTAGGGTTTAGGGTGTAGGGTTTAGGGTTTAGGGTTTAGGGTTTAGGGTTCGGGTTTAGGGTTTAGGGTTAGGGTTTCGGTATATGGTTCATGCACCCTAATAGAGATAGTAGTAGTGCAGGGTGTGATCATCCCAATTTTCGGGATGATTCGGTCTCCAAGGAAGTACACGAGCAATACCTGTGGGGAGGGGTGGGGGTCGGGGTGGGGGCTTTTTTTCGTTCTGCTTTCCCTTATAAAGTAACCAACCCAAAAACAGGCACCCGTATCATAAGATGGTTAACCAAGTTAAAGTCGCTAGATGATACCTACTTTGGGCTGTTTGGAGCCTTTTCGGGGGCGTTGGGTAGCTGGAGGCTTGCTGGCCTAAACCCTAAACCCGAAACCCTGATTCCTCGACTCGACTGTGGTCGTTCTCAAAATTGGGGTCCCTTCTGGGCATTCTTCCTATAGTACAAGGTGCCGAATTATATTCTTAGAGAATAGTATAAGGTGCCGTATTTTATTCTTAGAGAATAGTATAAAGGTGCCGTGTTATATTCTTAGAGAATGACCCACATGCGTTTGATGACGACTGGAGACTTTAGCATGAAGCAGGGTCCCGCAAATGACCCACAACTCTAGGCATGTGAGCCCTAAACCCTGAAGCCTAGCAAGCGTATAACTAGATCAGTGTTAGGGATCCGTTTTACTTTTTGGGTTATGGGCTTTCTTATATATGAACAAAAAGGATCCGTTTTTCTTCCTAGGGGAACAGGGATTAAGATAAGTCCGAACCGTTTCAAAGGTCAGGGAAGCCCCGGCGTGCTACTGCGGAGCCATCCGTGCGTCCGCGTGCGATGCAGATGCCGAATGCCCTGGAGGCACGCTACGGGGTTGGGGCTTAGCGTTTGGGCCTTCGGGTTTAGGGTTTATGCCTTGGGTTTCACCCTAAACCCTAAACTTAAAACCCTAAACCCCTGAACCCTAAACCCTGAACCCCAAACCCCAAACCCTTTGCGATTTCGGGTTTTAGGCTGAGGGCCTAATGCTGGTTCTTGAGGACCCATGTCCTAGCAGTCCTTAATCATCGGGATTACAGTTCCCCCCCAACTTGAACCTCCATCTGGGTTTAGGGTTGAGGGTTTAGGGTTTAGGGTTTAGGGCTTAGCCCTCGTGGAAAGAAAGGGTTTAGGGCTCAGGATTCTTTCGACCCAGAGTAGGCCCTTATTCCCTCGTGTTAGGGTTTAGGTTCCCTGAAACGGGTTTAGGGTTTAGGGTTTAGGGTTTAGGGTTTACGGTTTAGGGCACTCTTCTCGTTCCCGGGTTGCTCTTGGATCGCGGATCCCACACTGGCCCGGCAAGAGGTGTAAGAGCAAGCCAGTAGCATTCTCCCGAAAAACAAAGAAGCGCCTATAGGTCGTCTGAGCTCGAGTCAACCCTGCTTAGGGTAGGCCCTCGGGATATTTCATAGCTTCTCTTATTGGGGGTTTTAGAGGGCTGCATTTAGGAGTATCCCTAAACCCTCACACCCTAAACCCTTCACGTTTACCCTTCGTTGGGTTTAAGAGCATCCAGAGGACGGGACATCCTAGAACCCTAAACCCTAAACCCTCAACCCTAAACCCTAAACCCTTAAACCCTTAAACCCTAAACCCTAAACCCTAAAACCCTAAACCCTAAACCTAAGCCCTAAACCCTAAAACCCTAAACCCTAAGTTTCCATCCTCGAACCCTTAAGCTCCCAGAGTCGCCAGGCGTTTCTGGATGCGGCCGGGCCGAGTGAGGCGCGGCTGCGCCTCGGTTCTCGAAGAGCGTTGAGGCGTCGCTGCTGTTTCTTTTGTGGGTTTAGGGTTTAGGGTTTAGGGTTTAGGGTTTAGCCATTGCAGTCGTACTATCATTTAGGAGCGATGTGGTGAAAATGCCCCACCATCGGCAACATCGAGGATGCAAAAGAGAGAGGGCTTAGAAAAAAACCTAGGATCAGGGTGTTCATGCTTCGGGAGCAAGCTTTACCGGGTGTACGTGACAAGTACGTGAGTAACCTGCCTTTGCTTTGAACGCAAAAGATTTGTAAGAACCCTGTATGCAGCCGTAAACCCTCGTGCCTTGGGATGTTCCCCCAGTAAGTCCTTAGCAAGGATTATCAGTGCCCCTATTATAATCCCTATTAAGGACGGCTAGTATAAGGGGGAACATCCCAATTCATCCCTAAAGTCCAAAGGGAAATCCTAGAGGGAGACTCATCTACACATCTGTGACCATCCAACCCCGGCCGCAAGCCACCCCAAAGCGCCGGGAATATCTCCAATTCCGAAACTTCAAGCCTTCACCTTGGGATGTTCCCCCATATAATCTGGTACTAACAGTCCTTCATAGGGATTGTATAAGGGGTACTATAACCCCTATCAAGGGCTCTTAGTATGAAGGGGGAACATCCCAACCTTCACCTTGCTTAGGGTTTTTCGTCCAAAGGCCATCCTGGATAGAGAATCTGGGTAGTTTGGCGTCCGGTGACCGAGGATCTCGCAACGCCCAGCACTTCTTTCAGCCTTCGCGGAATCGCAGGAGCAATCAACATGCCCACCTCAGTAAAGGAGGGGGGTATAGGTTTTGGGGTGTGAAGGGCTTAGGATAAGGGAGGGCGGGGGAGATTAAACTCAACAAGGGCTCATTCTTTATGAGGGCTTCACACCAGAAAGCCCCAAGACATATCTCTTGACCAAGAATATTCGTGGATTCTTATTGCACTGCATTTTGGGATTCGGGATCTTCATTCTTTGGCTTGTTGGTACTTACACCCCCTCTCCTGAACACCCCGAAACCTCAAAACCTAAACCCTAAACCAGCCGAATAGGAGTTGGAGTCCATCCTGTTGTTGTGACCTGTCTTTACCCGTGAGTTCTTGTCCGAAGCCCCTTACCGACTGCACGCTTTTTGCAACTCAGCATACACTGGGAGAGGTGTGTTTGAACGAACGTGTTGCTCGATTTGTCCCTGCGGAGTTGCGTGTGAGCCGTGTGAGCGTGGGCAGTGAGGGTGGCAAAAAGAGCCCTAGTCCTGAACCCCTGCCCCTGGGTCAAGGGTGCAAGGCCCAAGACTCCCGTGAAATCGTGTGTGTTGCCCTGCTACCCTGTCAACCAATTAAACCCGTGAGCCCTGTGCACCCTCTATGCCCCCACAAGTCCCATACACTCTATACATCCTGGTTCAGGGTTTTAGGTTTTGGGTCTGTTACGGAAGGGCTGGCCTTAAGCCTCGCGCGCCACATGTAAACCCTAGACCCTAAAATCTCTCCCTAGGGATCCCTAACCCTAAACCCTAAAATCTCTCCCTAGGGATCCCTAACCCTAAACCCTAAAATCTCTGGGTGTTTTTTGTAGACTTGGAATGCGCTTTTCTTCAGGATCGGGGGGTTTAGGGTTTAGGGTTTAGGGTTTAGGGTTTAGGGTTTAGGGTCTAGGGTTACCCCCGAAGTAGGAATCTTTGAGGTGCCCTCTTGAGAAGCCTGCCTCTTTAGGGGCTTAGGTTTCTTAGGTTTCTTAGGGTTTAGGGTTTAGGGTTTAGGGTTTAGGGTTTAGGGTTTAGGGTTCAGGGTTTAGGGTTTAGGGTTTAGGGTTTAGGGTTTCCGTAGGGTTGCCCGACAGGAGCTGACGGATGGAGCCATTGTGTCTTGGAGCATCTGGATAGGACATAGGCCGACATGGGTCTTGCGGTATTGGATCGTGGTGTGGTCCACACACTGGCTGAATAGGTAACTCAGTGATTTTGCACTAAACTTGGGATGTTCCCCTATACGAACAGTCCTGAACACGGATTGTAACTACGGGCTACTGCAATCCTTAATAAGGACTGTGAGTATAAGGGGGAACATCCCAACCCGAAACCCTAAACACCTTTCCAGAGTTTGGCGTCCAGGGTTTAGGGTTTAGGGTTGAGGGTTTAGGGTTTAGGGTTTAGGGTTTAAGGCTCAGGGTTCAGGGTTCAGGGTTTAGGGTTTAGGGTTTAGGGTTTAGGGTTTGGGGTTTAGGGTTTAGGGTTTAGGGTCTGAGGACTTGATCAGATCATGCCCAGGAGGAGTCGCAACCTAGGAGGCCCAGACTTTTCATGCGGCTCCAAAATTGGTCTAGGGTTTAGGGTTTAGGGTTTAGGGTTTAGGGTTTAGGGTTTAAGGCTCAGGGTTTAGGGTTTAGGGTTTTTTGAACTGGTCAAGGGACTAAAGGAGGGACCCTTCATCAGGGATCTTATGGGTTCTTTAGGGGCTACTTAGGTATATGGGCACTATGTAAGGTATACAAAAGGGTTATTTGTAGGGGAATACTATGAAGAACGGTCCGGCATTGTAGGCTCAAAGTTGCCCAAAAAAGCCCCATGCCGTACGGCCAGGATGGCCTTTGAACCCATACTGGGTTTAGGGTTTAGGGTTTAGGGTTTAGGGTTTAGGTTTTAGGGTTTAGGGTTTAGGGTTTAGGGTTTAGGGTTTAGGGTTCCCGAAGATCATGTGAAGAAGCAGTTGTGTGCTTTGCGCAAGTCGCTGCACGAGATGCATCTTGGGTAGTTCTTGTGTGAACCCTAAGCCCTTAAACAAAACTTCCTAGACTCCCTAAACCCTAAACCCCAAACCCAACAAAACTCAAGACTTCTCAAGATGAGGAGGGATGCAGCGAAGAGGAGCGAGTTCAGATCTTGAGCTTCGGGCCGACTCACTCATGTTTTTTGACACCTCTTTTTGGGGCTCTTTTGGGATTAAGGCTGTAGGGTTTTTCGGGTTTTTGGGGCGTTTATCAAGGGATTAAGACTCGCACCCCTAAGGTTTAACCCCTAAAGGTTCCCCTTAGTTTCCTCCAAATCTGGCCCTCATACTACTTAAGGATCTTGAGAAAGGTTCTTAAACAAACAAGGGTCCAACCTTAAGTTTAGGGTTTAGGGCTTAGGGTTTAGGGTTTAGGGTTAGGGTCCAAGGTACAACCCCTAGATTTTACGAATTTGACAACTCTTTTTGGGGTGCTTTTTTTGCGTTTCGGATAGTTCAGCAGGCCAGGATGCGTTCAGGGGTTAGGCTTCGGGTGCTTCAGGTGTACTGGGACTTGAACTCACGGGGCCTGAGCGGGCATTCTAGTTCCCCCCATGTAACCCACTGTTCCCTGGGTAATAGCTAACGTAGAGAGGAGCGGATGCTGATAGTGACGACAGTTGATGCCGAAAAGGGCTGAACCTAAACTGCAAACCCGAAGTTCTACACCCTAAGCCCTGCTAAGCGGGTCGCAGAGTAGGACCCGAAACCCATGGCTTTAGGGTTTGGGTCCCCTACCACCCCTACAGCTCAAACGTAAACCCCTAAACCCGAAACCCTAAACCCTAAACCCTAAGCCCTAATCCGAGCATCTGAGGGCCCCCCCCCCCCCCCCCCCCCACAATAAGGAATGCAGGGTTCCGCAATAGTTGGACCGTGGCCCTGTATTGATTCTCTATTAAAAACAATACGAATGTATTGAAAACAATAGGAATGTATAGAATGTCTATTCAGCAGGTGCAGCCTTAGCGGATGTTTCACATCGATCTTTTCCTGCAGAAGCAAAAAAAAGCTTTAGTTTCAAAATTCTGCAACCCCCCCAAAAAAAATTCCTTTAAATGTGGGGGGTTTGTCCCATACGAAATCCACCCTAATGGAAAGTAGTCTTCCGGCAGGCTTCCGGCCAACAAAAATCTCTTTAAATGTGGGGGTATTAATTAATCAGATGCTCGGATTAAGCCCTAAGCCCTAAGCCCTAAGCCCTAAGCCCTAAGCCCTAAGCCCTAAGCCCTAAACCCTAAACCCAAACTCTCGTGCTCCCTGGGGCCCCTTTTTTGTGCCTAGTCGCCCTCCTGCAACGGTCCCGTTGCCTTGGCGGCTGGCAAAACAAAAGCCCTCAAACCTTAAACCCCTCAACCCCCAAACCCTAAACCCTCAACCCCAAACCCTAAACCCCAAACCCTAAACCCCAAACCCCAAACCCCAAACCCTAAACCCTAAACCCTAAACCCTACAAACCCTACAAACCCCAGCCGAGCTCAGCCCAGGAGCTTGTTCACCGCCTGGGCCACGGTGAGCACCTCGGCGCTTCACGTGAGCGACCTGCAGCTCTCCGACGAGGAGGTGGGTTTAGGGTTTAGGGTTTGGGGTTTGGGGTTTGGGGTTTAGGGTTTAGGGTTTAGGGTTTAGGGTTTAGGGTTTAGATGAGTTTAGGGTTTAGGGTTTAGGGTTCATCATGGTTTGTAAGTCATCAGGGTTATGGGTTTGCCAGGTTTGATTAAGAGGGGCTTGTACAGGGGTTAGTAAGGGCTTGCCCAGGTTTAGGGTTTTCAAGTTGTTTATCTTTTCAACGTTTAAGTCTTCTCAGGGTTTGTGGTTTCACTTCGACTAGCTTACTTCTGGTTTGGACCCAAACCTCTGCAAAGTTAGACACATCTTGCAGCATCATCCTAGACCCCAAGCCCTCAACCCTAGGCCCTAAACCCTCAGCTGGCAAAAAGCAGCCCTAAACTCTACACCTTTCACGTCCCGAAGCCCGAATCCCTTTGACCCTAAACCCTAAACCCTAAACCCTAAACCCTAAACCCTAACCACCCTAAACCCTAAACAGCAGCAGCTTCCTCAGGTGGAGGAGATGGTGGGCACCCTGGAGAGCTGCGAGGAGGCGGACGAGGGTTTTGGGTGGTTAGGGTTTATATTAGGGTTTAGGGTTTAGGGCTTAGGGTTTAGGGTTTAGGGTTTAGGGAGAGGGGTTTAGTTAACGACTGAGGAACTTGGGGAACGATTTAGTGGGGTTTAGGGTTGAGGATTGAGGGTTCCTGGGTTTAGGGTTCCCGGGGTTAGAAACGGCTGAGGCTTTATGGGTTTTGGGGTTCCAGGGGTAAAGGGGTTTGGGGGTTGAGGGTTGACAAGGGTTGAGGGTTGCGGGTTTTTTTGCAAGAAAAGGGTTGAGGGTTTGAGGTGTAGGGGTAAGTTAAAATAGGGGCACAGCTACGACACACCAGCTTCTGTCCTGGTAAACCTCTGGGATTAGAGTTCTGTGTTGGCACAGAACGTAGGGTTCAGAGTCTAGGGGTTTAAGAGGGTTTATAGGTTTTACGAAGGTGAGGTTTAGGGAAGGTACAGTTTGTCTTTTTCAGAAGACTGTGAGGACTGCCAGACTGCCAGGTTGCTCATGTTCAGGGCTTTAGGGTTTAGGGTTTAACTAGGGTTCAGGGTTCAGGGAGGTAGACTTCCAAAGCACCCATCCTAAACGTCGCATTGCCGCTTCACGAGCTCTCTCTTGGTTTCTAGGCTGCGTGGCTTGTCTGCGGTCCAATGCTGCATGGGATGCACTGCAGATGGTGTTGGTGTCAACTTCAACGTTCTACGCTCAAACTCTACACCCTAAACCCCCCTAAACCCTAAACCCCAAACCCAAAACCCTAAACCCTAAACCCTAAACCCCCCCTAAACCCTAAACCCTAAACCGTCAGCCTTGTGAGCCCCGCCTCCGAACCCGCATGCCGGAGGTGAAGGAGTGGGAGATGACGCGGTGTCGGTGCAGTGAGTCGGCGATGCGCAAGCTGCTGGGGCACTTCGCCAGCCAGCCCCTCTTGAGGCTGGCTTGGGAAATGCGGGGTTTAGGGTTTAGGCTTTAGGTTTCAGGGGTTTAGGGGTTTAGGGGGTTAGGGGTGTAGTGGTTTAGGGGTTTAGGGGTTTAGGGGGCTTAGGAAAGATGCGCACGCTTTGCTAAACTTGGCTGCTGGCTTTCTTAGCTTTGTTGTTTTGCGTCTTTGAGTTCTTGGAAAAGTTGACAAGGGGTGCACAATGCCACCCCTGCATCCAAAACCAGTGGCCATGGCCTTCTGCTCTCACTGAAAGCACGTGAAACTCAGACAACGCCTCTCAGTTTTCAGACCCGCAAGCCTTTCCCCAGACCTAAACCCCAAACACCCGAACCTCAGCGCTCAAAACTCCCAAAGCCCGATACCCTAAACCCTACTTGGAGCTTCATGTTCTAACCCCAATTATGAGCCTACTTATCACCTACTTAGAGGACTTGCGGGGGCTTACAAGTACAGTTCCCATATTGGGGTTTCAGAGTACCCTAAGAGTGCCCTGAACTTCCAAACCCCAAACCCTAAATCCTAATCCCTAAGTCGGGTTCCAGGTTTATAAACCCTAAACTCCAAACCAAAAAAAGAGCGGTATACCCTATGAACCCCATAAACCCTATAAACCAAAAAACCCATAAAGCCGATAAGCCACAAAAACTCTAAAAACTCTAAGAAGCCTAAAAACCCTATAAACGCTTTAAACCCTTTAAACCCTATAAAACCCCATACCCTGTAAACCCTATAAACCCTAAACCGCAGGCTCGGCCCGCAACGCCCTCGGCCTCCAGGCCAGCCCTAAACCCTAAACCCTAAGCCTCATGCAGCAGAAACCCTAAACCCTAAACCCTAAACCCTAAACCTTAAACCCTAAACCCTAAACCCCAGGCTCGGCCTCAGCTACAACGCCCTGGGCCTCCAGGGCGCCCGGCTCCTGGCCGAGGCTGCGGCCGCCGGCGGCTGGCAGCGATCTCTGGGCTGTCTGAGCCTGGAGCCGGGTTTAGGGTTTAGGGGTTTAGGGGTTTGGGGTTTAGGGTTTAGGGTTTGGGGTGTAGGGTCTGGCCTGGAGCCTCTTAAATGGTTTGGGGTTCAGTTTTGAGGGTTATGGTCTGTGGGAGTGAGAGGAGCTGTGTCTGGGCAGGGGGGGTGGGGGGGGGGGGGGGGATTCGTCTTTCTACACACGGTTGCGCATCAAGAGACCCTGAAACCGGAAGCTTGCCTGTAGAGTTGGCTTTACAACCCCTCCGCCCGCCCTAAACCCTGAGCCTTTATGCCCCCAAGGGTCCATATACCTAAATAGGGACTACTTGGGCCTTAATGTGCTTCCTAGGGACTTTGGGGCCCAAGTATATAGTACTAAGGTACCATGGACCCTTAGGATTACTCTATAAGGCCTAGGCCCTACAAGCCCTCAAACGACAAGTCGCCCATGAGCTCAAGCCTAAAGCCGAAGCCCTAACCCTCTTTTCCTTACTTTGCTAGCCTTAGTTTTTTGGGGGGTTTTCCATACTTTGAGTAGGAATATTCGAGCTTGACCATCCTTGGTTCCTTGTTGATTAGAGAAGTACGTATCCCAAAAAATTGGCGAGGAGATGAACGGCCTGGGGGATGCAGGCTGCAAGCAGGCGCGCCATTCCTTGGATTAGCGTTTAGGGTTTAGGGTTTAGGGTTTGGGGGGGCTCAGCTCATTCCTTGGCTTTGGAGTCTTCAGGAGTTGCAAGTCGGGCATGCCGCTTCTTCTGGCATCCCCGCACAGTGCGTGCAGATGCAACAAAAGGGCGTTTGGGGTTTAGGGCTTAGGGTTTGGGGATGTTTAGGGTAGGGCTCCACCGGGATCCTAAGGGTTAGGGTTGAAGGTTTAGGATTTAGGGCCTTGAGTTACAGGCCTTTGTGGTTATTTATACGGGGAAATATTGTATACCACCCTATAAACGACGTACCACATAGGATCCTCCCTAAACCCTAAACCCTAAACCCTCTCGGTCCACGTCCTGACAGGTGGCGAGCCTGGTCAAGCAGCACTTGCCGGCCCTCTCCGTGTTGGAGTTGGGCTGGAACGAGGCAGCGAGCGTTTAGGGTTTAGGTTTAGGGGTTGGGCATCGCTGTTCGAGGGTTTATGGGGTTCAGGGTTGGCGAGTTTAGAGATTGTTAAAAGGGTCCTCAACCCTAAACCCTAAACCCTTCGGAGGGTGGCAACAAGATTCCAAAACCCTAAAGCCTAAACCCTAAACCCTAAACCCTATCCAGACTAGGTGGCAAAGTTAAGGTTTTTCAGGCGTTAGGGGAGTCTTCCCTGTTCGTCGCGCTCAGCAAACTGGAACTGCTATTCATATTGAATAAATGTAATTAGACAAAATACATATATATATATATATGTATATGTCTCTATCTATAAATACATACATACTATATGTATGTATATATGTAATGTAATGTAATGATGTGATGTAATGTAATGTAATGTAGTGTAATGTAATGTAATGCAATGTATTGTATGTTTTTCGATGAGACAGAGAGGCGTCTAGGTAAGCCCCCACATCCAGTTGACGCTGAACCCTGAACCCTAGAAATCCTAGAAACCCTAGACCCTAAACCCTAGAAACCCTAAACCCCAGAAACCCTAGAAACCCTAGAAACCCTAGAAACCCTAGAAACCCTAGAAACCCTAGAAACCCCAGAAACCCTAGAAACCCTAGAAACCCTAGAAACCCTGAACCCTAAACCCTAGAAACCCTAGAAACCCCAGAAACCCCAGAAACCCCAGAAACCCCAGAAACCCCACAAACCCCAGAAACCCTAAAAACCCTAGAAACCCTAGGAACCCCTAGAAACCCTCGAAACCCTGGACCCCAGAAACCCTAAACCCCTAAACCCTAAACCCCTAAACCCTAAACCCTAAACCCCTAAACCCTAAACCCTAAACCCCTAAACCCTAAACCCTAGAAACTCTAGGAAGCCCTGGTTAGGTCACGCCGGCCAGCGCCCCCGACTTGGCGCAGCTGCTCCAGGCACCCGATCCTCTCGGGGATGCTCCAGGCGCTCCTATCTGGTTTAGGGGTTTTAGTTTTTTTGTTTTTGTTTTACTTGTTTTTTTTTTTTTTTTTTTTTTAGGGTTTCGGGTTTTAGTTTTTTTTTTTTTTTTTTTTTTTTTTTTTTTTTTTTTTGTTTTTGTGTTTTTTGTTAAGGGTTTTAGGGGTTTTCGGGGTTTTAGGGTTTAGGGTTTTTAGGGTTTAGGGTTTTAGGGGTTATGGGGTCAGGGTTTAGGGCCATACAGGGTTAGGGTTTAGGGTTAGGGTTTAGGCTTTAGGCTTTAGGGTTTCGGGTTTAGGGTTTTGGTGTGAGGGTTGAGGGTTTAGGGTTAGGGCTTGTGTTGCTGAGACTTTCCGGCCAGGACATCGTAGCCCGGATGCAAAAAAGGGATAGGGCTTGAGGGTCACGATTGAGGACACGTGGTTTGAGTTAAGGGTTTGCATAGCGCAGGTTGCTTCCAATATTTACATCCCTGCTGAATATCGTTGTCATAGTGGGGTAACGTTGTGCACATGTAAGGGTACGAAAACTCAACAAGGAATCAAAGTTACATTGTCAATACTATCACAACCATGAACGAGATTTGGGCTTTCGCGTGCCAAAGCCGCCCCTACCTCAAACCCGGCGCGCTTAAAACCTTTCTAGTGCCTTCTTACTAGCCTAAACCCTAAACCCTAAACCCTGAGCCCTAAACCCTAAACCCTAAACCCTAAAAGCCCTAAACCCTCTGGAGGCTTGCCGGTGCTTCTGCGGCGCCTGGGCCTTGCCGGAAACAGCCTCTCCTCGGCGGCCTCTGGGTTCCTTGGAGGGGTCTAGGGTTTAGGGTTTGGGGTTTAGGGTTTAGGGTTTAGGGTTTAGGGTTTAGGGTTAGGGTTTAGGGTTTAGGGTTTAGGGTTTAGGGTTTAGGGTTTAGGGTTTAGGGTTTAGGGTTTAGGGTTTAGGGTTGTTCGATAGTAGGGCGGTTAGGGTTTAGGGTTTAGGGTTTAGGGTTTTTCGGTAGTAGACCGGGGTAGGGTTGAGGGTTTAGGGTTGAGGGCCTCAAGAATTGGAGCCAAAAACCCGGATAGTCTTTTCCCAGAGTGGCTTGTGCCCATTCCCTGTTTTCTTAGGCACAAAATGCATGTGGATGTGTATGTCTAAATATGTGTATGCACGTATTCGTTCGTACATACGCACATGCATACAGGCAGACATACATACATACATACATACATGCATACAGATATACATACATACATACAAACATACATACATACATCGCCACTCCAGAAACCCTAAAGCCTAAACCCTAAAACCCCAAGCCCTAAACCCCAAGCCCTGTGCTTCGGCTTTCGGCCACGTGATTTTTTTTTGATACTAGGGCTTTTGGGGGCTCTATTCTAAGGGTACCGTCTTGAAAGGGTTCTGAAGTATGGGCTGATTTGTTGATAGTAGGGCTTTTGGGGCTGTATTCTAAGGGTACCTTCGTTGAAGGGCTCTGAAGTAATTATGGGCCCTTGAGGTGTGCAGGGTATAAACGGGGGATTTTCCAGGACTCCCCTTTTTAAGGGGCCCCATACTAAGGGACCAGAAAACTACCCTAAACCCTAAACCCTGAACCCTATAGACCCTAAACCCTAAACAACAAACCCTAAAGAAAGATATTATGGGACCGAGGCTGGTGATGGCGGCCTTGTCCGACCCATCAAGGGAAATGGAGCTGGACCTGTCCATGACACTTGGGCCTTCTTGGCTTTTGTTCTTTTCTTCCTGTTGGGGCTTTTGAAACCGTTGGAGTTTCGAATTTTGGGTCTAGGGGGCTGGGGAAACATCTTCCGAGCAGGGCATCATAGCCCGGATGCAAACAAGAGAAGGGGGCACCTTGTTACAAGGGATCTGGCAAAGAAATGAAAGGTTGCGTTTGGGATGCTCCCCATCCGACTAGCAGTCTTCAAAAGGGATTATGGTACGCCGATTTGAATCCCCATAAAGGACTGTTAGTATATGGGGGGAACATTCCAAGGTTGCGCGCAAGAAGGAACCATAAGCAAGCCAGTTTCGAAAGCGCGTTTTTCGGTCTTCTAACAGGTTGCCTACTTGAGATCCTATGTGCTTGCCAGTGCTAGTACTAGCAGACTATGGCAGTACTATAGTAGAGTATCATTATATGATTATGATCATTCTATGACTATGATACTTGCTTGTCGCTTGCAGCAGAAAAATTGCGACTTAGGAACCACGTGGACGCCAAAGCACTGAGGGACGTGGCCGAGTGGGCGCGCGCACGTCGCGTTCCGGAGGTTGCCGAGGTTCAGGTCCATCTCACCGTCAGCCTGGAGCCTTGGGGACCAAATGAACCCTAGGATTGGGGTCCATCTCTCGCAGTCAGCCGGAAGTCTAGGGGACCACATGAACCCTAGGATTGGGGTTTAGGTTTTAGGGATTAAATCAGGGTTTAGGGTCATAATTAGACTCGATACTACTATCACCCCAATTAAGGGACATGAACCCTCCAAGCCCTTTTAGGGTTCATGCGGTCCCCAAGGAGTGGAACAGCATCGATGACCCGCAGGCAGTCACTTGGCAGCCCAGAGGTGCTCTTTTGCCACCTTTTTTGTTCTTGGTCCTAGGTTCCCTTACAAGGTAACCACCATCCCACCCCCCCCAAAAAAATATCATAATAAATAATGAATAAAAATTAAAGAATAGATAGTATCAAAATAAGAGTACTCTTTTTGTTTCATGGTTGGTGAGTTACCACCCCCCCCCCACAAAAAAACAAGTGTACATGTACATAAAAATGTATGCACAACCAAAAGTACCTTTTTATGTATGATGGTTGCATAACTACCAAGGTCAGACACCTGGCCGATGCCTTGAGCAATGGGAAGCTGATGGTGGCCGAGGCGGGGCAGCCCCTTGGTAGCGCAGCTTGGTACCCTTTCCCCTTTTGTTTTTTGGTTCAAGGTCCCCTTATAAAGTAACCAACCTTTAGGGTTTGTTTAGGGTTTAGGGTTTAGGGTTTAGGGTTTAGGGTTTAGGGTTTAGGGTTTCGGGTGGCTACTGGGCTACCCAGGCCCCTGATCCAATTGGCCAACAACGAGCTGCTCGACCTGCCGCTCAGTAGCTGACAATGAGTACGCTTTGTGCACTTCTTTGGGGATACTTATTGCAGGTATCCCTATCATACTTAGTAGCTGGATGAGTACACTCTGTACACTTTTTGAGGGGATACCTATAATCCCCTCTAGAGGGTTTAGGGTTTAGGGTTTAGGGTTTAGAGTTTCCGGGTATCCGGGTTTTAGAGTTTAGGGTTCAGGGTTACGGGGGACAGGGGGCCTAGGAACTCAGCATCTAAGGTCGGCCGCCGAGATCCTCGATACGTCAGCAAACCTCATCATGCTTTGACGGTTTAAGGTCTAGGGTTTGGGGTTTGGGGTTTAGGGTTTGCTTTGACATCTTCTTGGTAGCCCAACTGGTGCCCCTTTGCCTCTTTCTTGGGGGTTCCAGGTTCCCTTTCTACAGTAACCAACCTTTGGGGTTTAGGGTTTAGGGTTCAGGCAGCCCTTATGATAATAACCTAAACCCTAAACCCTAAACCCTAAACCCTAAACCCTAAACCCTCGCAGCCCAAAGAGGCGAACATTCCCTCACCTGCAGGGCGAGGTGCCCGTACTAGACTATGGAGGTTTACGAAAATTGGGGACCCCTAAGATGGACCCCCAAATATTAGGATTCCCTTTATTATAAGGACCCCCCAAAAAGGTACCCCGAATTTCGGAAACCCCCATATGGTTACTGGGCTACTCCAATTCTTTGGCCCGGGGCAAGCTAGGTTTCGTGGCTTGCCCCATTCATTGCCTCTTGATTCACTCCCGAGTCTTGGGGCGGTTTAGGGTTTAGGGTTTAGGGTTTAGGGTTTAGGGTTTAGGCTAGGGTTTAGGGTTTAGGGTCTCACCTCCGCCTGACATCAGCTGGCGAGTCGCTTTCCGCTTCGGGCGCCCAGGGAAAATGAAGACAACATACAGACTGCGTTGCCCTAAGGATTTAGGGTTCAGGGTTTAGGATTTAGGGTTTTAGGGTGTAGGGCCCATGTACCTATATAGTGCATGATTGGGCCTTAATGGGGTTACCATATAGTAACTCTAGAGCGAAAGTATATACATTACAGGTACATGGGCTCGTAGGGTTGCTGATTTTTTGCAAGGCTCGGACATGTAGCTCGACACGCGCTTCCTACTGCCAGGAATCCGAAGGATCTACTACGCCATGATTTAGGCAAGCTTTAGGCTGAGATTTGTTGCTTGTCCCCCCTCCCCACCCAACTCAGGCAAGAAGTGCCCTAAGCCCTAAACCCTCAACCCTGAACTCTAAACTCTAAACCCTAAACCCTAAACCCTAAACCTCCTCAGGCAACAAGTGCCGCAATGCCCAGAACTCCGTGCATGGTGTAGGAAGCCCCAACCGTTCATTGGGGTGGGGAGGACCCACTGCAGAGCTTCTTTTCGTTGGGATGGTGGATTAAACCCTGTCACCCTAAAACCCTAAACCCTATCACCCTAAACCCTATAACCCTATCACCCTAAACCCTAGAACCCTAAACCCTGTAACCCGACTGTAGAGCTTCCTTTCCTTTGAGGGGTGGATGCCGCAATGAACGCCCCCCACCCAAGGTCATAACGTCTTCCCTTGTGTGCGGGCCTGAGCCGGGTTTCAGGGTTTAGGATTTAGGGGTTTAGGGGTTACGGTTTAAGGGTTTTAGGGTTGAAGGGTTTGAGGGGTCCAAGGTTTCTGTCAGGGCTTTCAGGGTTTCAGAGGGTTTCAGGGTTTCAAGGTTTAGGGGTTTCAGGGATGAGCGTTTATAAGGTTTCCACGAGCACCTTCTGACCTTCTTGCTGTTGCTGATGCCGCACGCCTAAACCCCAAATCCTAAACCCCAAACCCTAAACCCAAAACCCAAAATCGGGTTCCCACACCTCGCAGGGCGCCTCGACCCCTTTTAGTGCAAAGTGCTCCGGTGAGGAATACGGCGGAAAGTGAAATCTCACCATTCCCCCGGGATCATCGACCCCAAACCCTAAAACCTTAAAGCCCTAAAGCCCTAAAACCCAAGAGCCCTAAAACCCTAAAGCCCTAAACCCGAAAGTCCGAAAACCCCAAAACCCCAAACCCCAGACCCCAGACCCCAAACCCCAAACCCTAAACCCCAAACCCTAAACCCTAAACCCTCCCTAAACCCTACACCCAGGTCCACGCAGAAGCTCTCCGAGTCTCTCAAGGAGGCGCTGGAGCCTCGGCTGCTCAAGCAGCTGCCGGCGAAGCAGGCTAAGCAGGCCGGCTCTGGGCTGGAGGGTTTAGGGTTTAGGGTTTAGGGTTTAGGGTTTAGGGTTTAGGGTTTAGAGGGCTTAGGGCTTAGGGTTTAGGTTTAGGCTTTATAGGCTAGAGAATCCGGGGTAGAACAAAAAGCTCTGCTTGCAGTATTGCTATGGAACGAGGTGCCCAATAGGACTGCTTAGTATGGTTGTCGGCCACCTACTTGCAGAAGAGACTCCGGTGTTCAGGTTTAGGGTTCAGGGCTCAGGTTTTAGGGTTTATAGGGCGTAAGGTTGAGGGTTTAGGTTTGTAGCTTCAAAGGGCCCTATACGTCTGGTCTTGAGCTGCTCATTATGGACATGAATCTTGGTTGTAAATGGGTTTTATCATTAGGCCCACCCTCTGAAGCCAAAACCATACGCCTCCAAGGCCCTCGACCCTACCTAAGGCTCCTATGTAGTATTTTCAGTGCAGTATACTTACTTCCTCTAGCACGGACCACCAAGGTTTCGGGTAGTTTATAGTCGTACCAGATGGATCAGAAGGTGATTGTTTGAGCTCTTGACTTGACCCCGAGGTAAGGCTTGTCAAAAGCCACTTGCCTGCTGGCAGGTACTGCGCTCCTTCCTCCTCGCGCTGACCCAGGGACCCACACTCAAGCGTGGCAGCAAGCTTCAGTTCGACTTTGAGAAGGCTGTATGTTTTCACGAACAGTTTTTGTTTTACGTATTATTCGTTTCATGTATACATACATGTATATATGCATATATGTATATACATGCAAGTTTTTTAAAATGGGTTCGGGTTCAGGTTTTGAGGTTTAGGTTTTATAGGCTGTGCTTTTTAATATTTTTATGTATCATTCAAAAAGCCGGCAGTCACGATCCCGCCCTTTGCAAAGAGGGACCCCACCCCCCCCCCCCCCCCCCCCCCCCCTTTTTGGCTTCAGGGCTTCTTACATTAGTTGAATATAGAGCCTGGTAAGTGTACTTACGACTTAAGACGAGTGGGCCTCCCCTGCAACAACTGTTCCTCTACTTATGACAAGTGGGCCTCCCCTGCAACAACTTTTCTTTCATCGTTGAGGGCCTCTCCAGCGCGAGCTTCACCAGAAGCCCCGTAACCGAGTAGTTACCATCGACTCTCAGGGACTACAATCTAGAACAACTCCCCTCTGTCAATGACAAGAGAGAGGGGGGAGAGTGATGAAACATCACAGCCCAGTGGCACCCATTTGAGTGTTCTGGGTTGCGTTTCGCAAAACTAGCCAACCCGGAATAAAAGTTCCCTCATGGTTATGCTATAGCTTTAGGGTGCAGGGTTCAGGGTCGCGACTGGGCTACGCACCAAGTGAATGGTCATGATGCGTCCGAACGTTTCCTTACTCAGCCCGTGCCTACCAGGCCGGCGTGAAAGTTCACATCGGAGACAAGTATGCCACTGGACTCTATATACCTTTACCTTGGGATGTCCCCCATTATACTAACAGACCTGACTAGGGATTTTAGTAGGGGGTACCATGCTCCCTATTCAGGACTGTTAATCCGTTCCCCCTAATATTAAAGGCCCCCCCCCCCCCGCCCCCCCCTCCCTTGTATAAAAACCCCCAAAGGGTTTTTTGTATTTGGGGGGGTTCTTATCGTTTGTCCGAAAAACCAGCCCGTCCTTATTGCAGCACGCTGGCTCAGCAGCCCAGCCTAAGCCTAGACAGCTACGTTTGGAAAAGGTTCATGTTTCTGCTTCCGGCTTCCAACCCTCCCCCCCCCTAACTCCCCCCTCTCTCTGTAGAGATTTTAATAGGGACAGGCACGGGATCGGGATTTTGGGCCAGGGGGTTCTTTATATTAGGGGGGTATTATTATTAGGGGGAACGGATTAGTATAATGGGGAGCATCCCAACCTTTACCCTAAACCCTAAACCCTAAACCCTAAACCCTAAACCCTCTAAGGTTTGGGATCTTGCCACTCTTATGGCCTCCAGGCATCTATGCAAAGGTCCAGGGTTCCGAATGTTCAGAGAAGTTTAGGGTTTAGGGTTTAGGGTTAACCCTAAACCCCAAAACCCTAAACCCGAAAACCCTAAAACCCTAAAGGGGTCCTGGCAGCTCAGGGTTTCAAGCTTAGACATCAGGAGCTTGCCATATGTCCTCCCGTTCACTCCGTACGTCTGGACCTGCCCCCCCAAGCCCTACTCTCAGCACTGGGAGAGCCTTGCACCATGTAGCAGTTTAGGGTTCAGGGTTTAGGGTTTACTAGTTTAGGGATAGGCAATGGGGGGGGAGAAGCTCTGGGAGAGCCCTGCCCTGACAAGCACCATGCAGCAGTTTAGGGTTTAGGGTTTAGGGTTTAGGGTTTAGGGTTTAGGGTTTAGGGTTTAGGGTTTAGGGTTTAGGGTTTAGGGTTTAGGTGTGTGAAGTGGGTGGTTCCTCTCTGGCCGTCACCAAGTCCCAGTTGCAAAAAGGGTTTAGGGTTTGGGGATGGGCAATGGGGGCGGGCTGAAGGGAGAAGCAGAGATCTGCCGAGCTCTGTCGAACGTTCCTGAGGCTGTGGATGTGAAAAGCAACGTCTTGACACTTGGTCAGAGTTGGGCAACACTTTACATTTTTAAGGGTATAAAACCCAGTAAGAAATATGATACATTTTTAAGGGTACTTAAACCCAATAAGAAATATAAATGAAGATTTTTGATACGATCCCAACCATGAACTAGGACAAGGGCCTTTCTCAGCATCTACCTGGACAAGCACGCCGTCGCGCCGGACTTCCGGCATGCGGTGTTCCAAGGTCGGGGTTTGGGTTTTAGGGCCTAGGGTTTATAGGGTTTAGGGTTTAGGGATGTTTAGGGTTTAGAGTTCAGGATTTTGGGTTCAAAGTTTGGGGTTTAGGGTTTCAATGAAATGAAGGTTAAGTTCTGGAAGATCTGATCAGGGGTTGGGGGAGGAAACATTTTGGAGGTTGCCGAATCTCTGACTGAAGAGAGATGTTGGGTGCCTAAACAGGAGCGTTGTTCCAATGTAGAGCCCCCCCTCCTACTGTCCCTAAGGGTCCATGTGCCTACATAGTATATACTTTGGCCTTAAAGCCTCTGAATGGAGGTGATCGGACTCTAAATAGCAGGTGCTTAAGGCATGATGCAGGAGAATTGGGGTGCTGGTGAGCCCAGACCTGGCTGACCGAGTTCCTAACCCTTACACCCGAAAGCAGCTGTTAGGCGGCAAACCCTAAACCCTAAACCCTAATTAAGCCCTTATAAAGGCAAACAGCCCAACCATGGTTTGAGGTTTCGGGGGGGGGGGGGGGGGAAGTACAGTTCTGAAGGTGCAGTGTTGCTGGGATTTCGACGTCGAGTTGGCTCTTGCGGTACCCCCCCCCGAAGTGAAACCTCAAAGTGACGGGTGTCTATGCCAGTATTATGAGTGATTGGATGTGGGGTGTTGGGGGGGGTAAAGGTCTCAAACCCTCAAGCCACCCCCAATCATCACACTCCATGCGCTTCCCTAAGCTCCGAACAATCCCGACGCTCTTCCCTAAACCCTAAGCCCTAGTCCCTAAGCCCTAAGCCCTAAACCCTCACCGATTCCATTTTTTCCGGGTCTCCGGAGGCCTGGCGAAGAGCTGAATCGTGGCAGCCCCGCCGGGTTTTTGAATGCGGTTCTGCGCGCCGGGTGACGCGGATTGGGTCAGTTGAGTGTGGAGGAGTTAGGGTTTAGATCTTCGTGAAGTTTAGGGTTTAGGGTGAATACAGTTCAACTAAAGTATTAGCAAGAACAAATTGAATAGGTGGACTTCATGAGACTTACTGTGAGGAACCCCTTCAATTGTAGGAATCCTAGCAGGCTTTTTCTCGCACCCTTTTTCATTGGATTCTTCACTCGAATTCCCGCATTTTGCTTGTTCAATAGAAGAGAAGAGATGAATGGCGCATGAACTCACTTGAACAACAAGCAGGAAGGAGGAAAGGAATGAACGAAGCACATTATGGTATCCACGGCTTGAGGTTCGTGGGTTTTTCATTATGAGAGTTTAGGGTATGGAGTCGCAGAATCGCGAGCACCGGCTCTTGCAATAACAATGCTGACGCTTCCAATTGGTCCTCCAGAGTTTTGGTTGAGCGTGCGACGCAGGGGCCGGATGCAGCAAACTTGCTGCATCAACACTTCTGAATTCGATGTTGGCCGGTCTTCTGAACTGCTGGGCCACAAGGCAAGGTAACCGCGGCAGTTTTGGGGTGGTGACCACAGGTCCATGACAAAGCTGAGCAACGACTACGATTACTCTACTACTACTACTACTACTACTACTACTACTACTACTACTACTACTACTACTGCTACTACTACTACTACTACTACTACTGCTACTGCTACTGCTACTGCTACTGCTACTACTACTACTACGACGACGACGACGACTACTACGACTACTACGACTACTACGATTACTACTACTACTACTACTACTACTACTACTACTACTACTACTACTACTACTACTACTACTACTACTACTACTCATCCTCCTCCTCCTACTACTACTACTCCTACTACTACTACTACTACTACTACTATTACTACTACTACTCATCCTCCTCCTCCTCCTACTACTACTACTACTACTACTACTACTACTACTACTACGACTACTACTACTACTACTACTACTACTACTACTACTACTACTACTACTACTACTACTACTACTACTACTACTCCTACTCCTACTCCTACTCCTACTCCTACTCCTACTCCTACTCCTACTCCTACTCCTACTCCTACTCCTACTCCTCCTACTCCTACTCCTACTCCTACTCCTCCTGCTCCTGCTCCTACTCCTACCCCTACTCCTACTCCTACTCCACCCCTACTCCTACTCCTACCCCTACTCCTACTCCTACTCCTACTCCTACTCCTCCTACTACTACTACGACGACGACGACGAACAATGACGATGACGACCACCAAGACCAGGACGACGACGACCACCACTACCACCACCACGACAACTTTTGCTCACTAACATCACATCGGTGTTTGTTACACGCCCTAGGTTTTTTGGATGCCCTAAATTAGGACCTGACCATCTGCAGCCTGCATGCTGTGTTTACTAATAGTTCTATTCTAGGGCAGATTGGGAGAGCAATCCTCAACCCAAACCTGTAGAGTGGATATTTGGCGCGACCCTAAACCCTAAACCCTAAACCCTAAACCCTAAACCCTAAACCCTAAACCCTAACCTTTTGGGTGTGGGGTTCCATGGTGTGGCTCTTCAGGTAGCAGGGCCACTAGGGTGCGCGGGGCTGCAGCAGAGAAAGCCGCAGATGAAGATTAGGGGATCCGAAGGGTTTAGGGTTTAGGGTTTAGGGTTTAGAGTTTAAGGTTTAGGGTTTAGGGTTTAAGGTTTGGATTGTCGCGGTCGCGATCCTCCCACCAGCAGGAGAATCAGTTCTACAATTTTCCGTTGCCCAGAGCCACACCCCCTCGAGCAGAATTTCCACTGCTAAGATTGATGTTTGTATGATCTACATACTGAGCAAAGCGACAAGTGACGTGCCATAAATGCTGGGCAACCCTGTTCGACTGGAGTTCCCACTTTGACCCATTGGACTTTGCATAGCTTGACCGAGTTTTTAGGTTTCAAGTTGCATTGAGAATCAGGAAAGTGCTGAGTATGACTTGGGATGTTCCCTAAGAGTCCTTAATTTTTTAATAGGGATTATAGTAAGGGGTACGATAATCCCTACTAAGGAGCTGTTAAGATAAGGCGGAGCATCCCAAAGTATGACCCAAAGTGCACAACGCACTTTGCGGGGATGTTGGGCCGCTGTCAGTGCACAGGCGAGCTTGACGTGCCAAATCTTGTTTCCATAAGGGCTGCTTCCCAAGTCATGGTCCCTTTCTGGATACCTCCCAGAACTATATGGGGGTTTACGAAATAAGGCACCCCTAATTTCGGACAACCCCATATGGGGCGCCATGGCAAGAGAGGAATCCCAGAAGGGACCAGAATTTGGGACGGCCCTGCATAACTCGTGCTCAGAAGAAGCCTCGACCGCCACAATGGGGTGTGTCGCTGAGAGTGGAGCTCAGCGCTCACTTTGTGGCTTCCAGAAGAGCCCGAAATCTGATGGGCCACTGAGCCTACGAAGCACCACACAAGTTGTCGATGTGCTTGGCCGTGTGCAGCAAAAGCGCTTGCAGCAAGAGCCGTTTGCGCTTTCAAGCCGGATGCGTGTTTGATAACTTGTCCAGATGCCAATCTCGCGTCGGAGAGTGGCATAGATGAACTTTCTTCTTGCAGACATTATCAATTAGTAAGACCGGAACCTCCAAATCCCGAGTCTCCTGTACATGCTACTTCTAGGTTTCATCGTACGTGCTACTTCTAGGTTTCATCGTTTCTGCTTTTAGGGATTTCCGCTTTCCCTAAGGGTCCATGTACCATGTTGTTCTATACTTGGGCCCCAAAGTCCCCCATATAGGAGGTACTTTAAGGGCCAAAGTATTCCCCATTTACTCGTAGGTACATGGACCCTAAACCCTAAACCCTGTAAGTTTGCCCATGTCGTTGCCTGTAAGTTTGGAACTACCCCCCCTACACCCCCCGCCCAAACAATATGATTTGCTCTCTCCCTCTCAGGGCAATACCAGGATTTGTCCTTTAACATTTTTACTAATTGCTTCAGACCCCCCCCCGCCCCCAAAAAGAACAAACAAAATCAAAAACAAAACGAATAAACAAATCAAAAGATTCTTCTTAATAGGGGTAATGTAGGGATTCTTATCTTGCCCTAAACCCTACACCCGAACTAGTAGATGCCCGCAACATCCCGTAGCTCACATCGCCTGTCAGGCCTGGTGGGCGACCAGGTGCTCAGGGCGCGTTCTGGGATTAGGGTTTGGGGTTAGGGTGAAAAAAATGGTGTAGGGTTTATTTAGCCTTTAAGGTAAGAGTAATGACTTGCTTCGTAGCTGAGTAGGTAACGTTTTAACCTTTTGGGGCATATATGATCCTACCAGAATTGCAAGGTTAACCCTTCTTTGGCCCAGGGTACTCACACAGAGAGCAATGAACGTGGCCAACTTCTTAACCGGTCCGCAGCCCTCTTCAATGGGTTTAGGGTTTAGGGTTTACGGTTTAGGGTTTAGGGTTTAGGGTTTAGAACTGGGTTTAGGGTTTAGGGTTTAGGGTTTAGGGTTTAGTAATTTAGGGTCTTCCATGTCCGGTACCATCCACCCTCATGCATCTAGGCTCGACTGACTGCTCGACTGAGGACGCGTCAGTACGGAGGTGCTCAATGGGATGTCCACTCGATCTTAAGGCTTAAGGGACGAACACGTTCGCCCAAATATGTCATCTATAGGAAGCACTTTAAGGCCCAAGTTTTCCCTATTTCGGTACATGGACCCTAAACCCCAAACCCTAAACCCTAAACCCTTAGTGTGCAGGCAGAGGCATTTTGGTCTGCAGCCAAAGCAGCCGCTGCGGCCACGCGAGGGGATCCCGCTGCCGTGCCGAGGTTTTTCCAGGGGTTTAGGGTTTAGGGTTTCGAGTTTAGCGTCTGCGGGGACATGGGGGACAGGACCATGTCCCAGACAGCCCCACTGACCCCTTTTTTTCAGGAATAGCCCGAAACCCGAAACCCCAAACCCCATAATTAACCCTAAACCCTAGCCAGCCACCTTGAGGCTTAGACCTCTGCTTTGAGGGGAGGCTAGAGTTTCTGTTTTATTTTTTCTTATTTTTAAAGTTTTTCCTCATAGCTAGACCCTCCTGGCATTGGCACCCCTGAAGGCTGAGTCATGGAGACCCGGGGTCTGGGAGCACAGTACGAACCTAAGCTAGGATGCCCAGTAGTACCCTTATTCCCTTTTTGGGGGGGTTTAGGTTCCCTTATAAACCCCTTTAAGCAAAAACAGGGCACCCTTTTTTAAGCCTTGGTAACTGGGCAGCCTAGTAAGGTTGTTTTTTGGAGTTTAGGGTTTATTCTAGGGTTTATTCTAGGGTTTGTAGGGTTTATCGGGTTTCTGGGGTTTATCGGGTTTATAGGGTCTATAAGGTTTATAGGGTCTACAGGGTGTAGAGGGTTAGGGACATGGGTTTTTGATGCCTTGAGGCTCCTACACTAAACAAACAGTCCATCACGCGGAGATTGCATGTAGTTCCTTAGAGGGCTGCGGATTGTGAGACCGCAAACCATTTCAGCCGCAAATCCCACATCCCCTGAGACCTCTGCACCCTGAACTAGCCTGGACTGGTAGGCTGAGGGATATGGAGTGGGATACTTGTGGGTCGAGGCCATTGTTGAGGTTTCGGGTTTAGGGTTTAGGGTTCAGGGTTTCGGGTTTTGGGTTTGGGGTTCAGGATCTGAATTTCGTTTTTCCCTGCGGAGCTTGCCTAGGCAGGGTAGCCAAAAGAAAGCAAGCCATGGAACTCAACTAACCTCTCAGTCACAAGCCCCCCATATCTCCCAAGAACCCCAACCCTTAGGGTTTTGGGTCTAGGGTTTAGGGTTTGGGGTTTAGGGTTTAGGGTTTAGGGCTAGGAGTTGTCGGAGGCGCCTGGAAGAGCTCAACACGGCGGCCATCGCCTGGCGACCCCGCCCTGCGAGGTCGTCTGCCAAGGCGTGGGTTTTCGAGTTTAGGGTTTAGGGTTTAGGGTTCAGGGTAAAAAGGTTTTAGGGTTTAGGGTTTAGGGTTTAGGCTTCAGAGTTTAGGGTTTAGGGTTTAGGGCTTAAGGTTTAGGATGTTCCCCCTTAATACTAGCAGCCATTGGTAGGGATTATAGTACCCCCGCATCTTAATCCCTATTAAGGACCTCTGGTGTTTTTGGGGGGTTTATAGGGGTTTCGGGTTTTAGGGTTTAGGGTTTAGGGTTTATCGGGTTTAGGGTTCAGGGTTTAGGGTTTGTCTGTGGGTCTTCTGCGAGTCTGAGAGTGTTGGAAGAACTCGTTTGCGAGGAGGGCAAGGGGGGGCTGGCTCTAAGGAGCAGTCTCCTTTAAAGGGGTTCTGAAGTATGGGCCCCTGACTTGTATAGGGTTTAGGGTTTAGGGTTTAGGGTTTCGGGTTAGGGTTTAGGGTTTAGGGGGTGTAAGGGGTCCGCGTTTAAGGGCCCATGCTAATAAGGGACCATGTAACTACCCGAAGACTGGCTGGCTCGAGGCGTTCAGGCGTTTGGAGTTTTAGTGGGGTTACTTGGAGGTTCAGGGTACTTATAACAGGAGTTTCGGAAGGGGCCATTCAGGGGGCCCATATTTTGTGCTATTCTCGAAAGGAGCTGGAGCTTCTTCGCTACGTGCCCTACGCCCAGCCATGTCGAGCGTGACTTCTACAAATTCCCATCTAGGGATTGAGGCTCGTACCCCTAAGGTTGAGCCCCTAAAGGTTCCTCCTAAAAAACTCCGAATATGGCCCTAAAAAACTGCCTAAAGGATCTTTAACAGGGTCCCCACAACCCAAGGGTGCAACCTTAAGGGTCCAAGGCACAAGCCCTAAACGACGCGATCCCCTTTACCCTAGCCCTGAAACCCTGAAACCCTGAAACCCTGAAACCCTAAACCCTAAACCCTAAACCCATTCTTCCCGTTGACCGAGGGTGCTGCTCGCGAGACATGGAGTCAGAGCCTCGGCTTTCGGACTCCGCACCTTCTTCTCGTTGTGCAAGCCGGTATACATGTACACAAGATCAGAGTCGGACATGCAAAAACGACTAAATATGAAGAAGTTACATATAATATATATATATATATATAAGAAGAAGAATAATAATAATAATAATCCACTATATTTACATTTATATTTATATTCCATTTATATTTCTATTTAAATTTAAATTCATGTTTATATTTGTTGGTTCATCACTACAGTCATTTTGGGCCACATCGCCGACCATGGTTTCAAGCCGAAGCCGCCGCAGCTTGGCTCAAGCCCAAAATTCGACCCTCCTGACCTTGCGACAGGAGGCAGGGTTTAGTGTTTGGGGTTTAGGGTTTAGGGTTCAGCATTTAGCGTTTAGGGTGTTTGAAGTTGAGGGATTGAAGGCTGAGGTTTCGCGCGCGCCCGCGCCATCCGTGATGTGTTTAAAGGCTGTGGATGCCAATGCCTCCTTGACTCTGGAGTTTTGGGATGTTCCCCCTTGAACTAACGGTACCTGAATCGGGATCATCGTACCGTACCCCCTAGTAGAATCCCTACTAGGACTCTTAGTAGAAGGGGGAATCATCCCAAGTGAGGTTCTAAGCTGCCAGATCAAACACCAACATGCTGGAACCCCAGTGGCGGCCTTGTTCCTAAACCCTACCTAAACAATAAACCCTAAACACTAAACCCGAAATATCCCTGCGATGCAGTTCGGCCAGCAGTGAAGAAAGAAGCCGAAAACATGGCTTGGTTCCCGTTTGCCCAGAGTAAACCTCGAAGCCAGGCATTTTTTTGGCATACCCTGGGACCCCCTCGACCCCCCAGCCTAAACCCCGAACCCAAAATTCCCTAACCCTAAACCCCAAGCCCTAAACCCTAAACCCTAAATATTTTTTCTAAACCCTAAACCCTAAACCCTAAACCCTAAACCCTAAACCCTAAACCCTAAACCCTAAACCCTAAACCCTAAACCCTAAACCCTAAACCCTAGCAGGAGATCGGGCCCATGCTTTCCTTCAGGAGCAAAGGCCCTGCAGCGAAGGGGGCTTGGGGATGCTTCTGTTTGATGATGTTGGGATGTTTGGGATTAGGGTTTCGGGTTTAAGGGTTTCATTTGGGATCAGGGAGGGTTTAGGGTTTCACTTCTTCACACATTGTCATGTCAGCGACGGGGCCCATCAGCCTAACTGAGCGTCGCTTGAACTCATCTCAACAAGAAGTCGCTCGCGCCCACGCTTGAGGCTTCTGGCATACGCGGCAGAGCATACAAAAGCCAGCATGTATATTCGACCAGGGTCACCACGCAGGGTCTTGTGTCTCGCGGCCTTCAAGGTTCTCAGGAGCTGTTCAGTGGAAGCTCAAGGAGGCCTAACGCTTTCAGGGGCTTGTCGTGCGTCGCGTGTCCGCAGCGGCCCGCCTCTTTTCGGTCCAGAAGCCAGGGTATGAGATGAGCCCGCAGTAGCCAGCGCGATTGGGCCATGCAAGCCACGATGCTGGCAACTCAGCTGCAAGATGCCTGTTGGCCTACAAACATCCTTGGAAAAGAAGCACCCCACTACAGACTCCCTGTAAAGCATATATGTATCAGTCTGTTGGGGGATAGAGTAGGAGCCAAATTCCCTAGCTTCCTCCGAAGAATGTGCGGTGCCATGACTTGGTAGACCCGCGGGTGCCCTTTTGCGCCTCTTTGGGTTGTGGGTTCCAGCCAAACCCAAAAAGAGGGTAAGCGTAGTGAATATGGCTATTGGGCTACCAAGACTGACTATACAATAGTATAGCGTATTTTGATACACTGTCTTTTGCATCACATCACATCATATTCATTACCCCCCCCCTATTCCAAACAGGCAAGTTCCTTTGTACTCCTAGGCATGAGGCTATCCGGGACCCTGGTAAAAGTTCGTTCCTGGAAGTGAGTCTCGGAAAGCTACTCCCCCGAAGCGAAGCGTGCGCGAACCGATGTTGCTAGTTTTGGCTGCGTATTTTCCGATACCGTGGAGGGGCGAGAATGCTATGTCAGATATGCGATGTAATGGCATCATGAGGCGGTAGGGGTCTTCTGTTTGCTTATAAGACTCAAGGCCGAGAGCAGCTTGCGATGGCCTGAGGTGACGGCCCAAGGGCAGACGTGGAAGCCACACCTCACCAAGGTTCGACCTCCTCTTCAGGGTTTAGGGTTTAGGGCTTAGGGTTCAGGGCCGGTCGGGATCGTGAATGCCCTTGGCAAGCCTTACCCTAAGGGTCCATGTACCATCTCATTATACACTTGGGCCCAAAAGTCCCTATATAGGAGGTACTTCATGAGGCCCAAGTAGTCCCGATTTAGGTACGTGGATCCTTAGGGTTAGTAGTTGGGTTTTAAGATTTGCAATTTGGTTTGCTTGCGCCACCTTCACTCCATGCTTCACGAAAGGGCTCGCGTGCACACATCTGGGATCAGGGGCCAGTGTTGTGTAGGACACTGGGATCAGCTTCACGGGGCGCCCTGTGTGAATTCTGGGTATCCTCTGTCGAAGATTGAGCCCGAGTCATAGCACACCGCCAGCCACCGAAGATGCAAACCTCCCCCAGGCCCTACTATCAAAAGCATTCAAAGCCCTACTAAACCCTAAAAGCCCTCTTGATCTGAAGAGAGAGAAGCTGTTGGGGCAGGCCATCTCGCTGCCCGTGCACCCCCAACGAGCCGCCGGCATCCACAACCAGGCTCGCTGCGTTGACGCTTTACGACTTTGGTGTTCAGGGCTCGCACGCTCGCTACGAGAATGTGGAGGGTAGCTACCGAAGAAGGATTAGGGTATAAGCCTCTAGGTTGGCCGGGAAATTGGGAACATGTTGCCCCAGACAGGTAGGTCCTAAACCTCGAGCCTCCATGCACCCACATGTCCCAGACTCACGACCAGACCCTCCCGTAAAGCCGACGCCCCCAACTCTCATGGACCCTACATTATAAAGAGGCATAAACCTGGCAGAGGAACGGACATAAAATCCCATAGGCTCGTGCTGGTACTAGAAAGTCTGGTAACCGTCCCTTACCTTGGGGACATCAGCCCCCAAAAAATGGGGTCATATACCCTACGCTACCATCCCCATTAAGGTATATGAATATGAACCATAAACCCTTTGTTCCGCTAAACCAAAAACCGTCCTTTCAAGGTGCATGTGGTCCTCAAGGTAAGAGCCCTCCCAAAACCCTAAACCCTCAATCCTAAACCCTCAGCCCTGACTCCCTGCAGGGCGACGGTGCCCGGGCGGCGGCAGCACTTGCGTCCTTGGGGGCGGCAGCAGCGGCATCGGGGAGGAGGACGGGTTCGACACCTCTGCCCCCACGTTATGAAGTTTTTGCGGCTTTTTAGGGTTTTTGGGGTTTATGGTTCTGAGCCCTTATGAAGTTTGAAACTTCATAATATGGGGGCACAGGTGTCTAAGTTTAGGGTTTAGGGTTGTGGCTCGTTTGCGGCCGGGCGGTGACCGAAAGCCGAAAGCCCGTTGCGAAAAAAGAAGGGCTTAAACGTTGGGACCCTAAACCCTAAGCCCTAAATCCTGGACCCTAAACCCTAAACCCTAAACCTGTGAACTTCCTGGAGTCTGGACGCATGTTTTGCTAGGCCCCATATCACCAACCCTCAGCCCCCCCCCCCCCCCCCGCACCGTAAACCCCAGGTTTGGGGTTTGGGGTTTGCGGTTTTGCAGGGGTTGAGGGCTTTGCCCTTCCTGCTATACCGGTATGGGGATTGGGGCTTCCCGGAGCCTCTTCAGTCCTGGGTCAAGAAAAGGGAGGGTTTAGGGTTTAGAGTTTAGGGTTTAGGGTTTAGGGCTGAAGGGAAAGGGCCCCCGACCAGGCGAAGATGCATCTGCTCAGCCGCTGACGACGACGAGTTGGGCTACGGGCGGGAGGACGCAAAGCCGCTGGACGCCTGAAGACCTCCCCCCGCAACGCAAAAAACAAATTACAATACTATAAAAATGTTAATGAAAGAAAATGTAGATATACTAGTTTCAGAATATTTATTGTGATAACGTAATTTCAGAGTTGGTTGCAGGTCATGCATTTCTGGTGCCCAGGTCTGAACTCCAAACCCTTCAACACCCTAAACCCTAAACCCTAAACCCTAAACCCTAAACCCCAAACCCTAAACCCTAAGCCCTAAACCCTAAACCCTAAACCCTAAACCATAAACCCTAAACCCTAAACCCTAACCCGAAACCGGAGGACATCGGCCCCGGCGGCGAGGATCCGGAGGCCCGCCAGCTGGTCTCAGAGTTCGAGTTGTAGGGCTATATAGGGTTCTATACCGTCCTTAAGGGTTTTAGGATATGGTATATAGTATACATAGTATATAGTATATATATAGTCTATATAGTATATATAGTACATATATATATATATAGTATATAAAGTATATATAGTATATATAGTATATATAGTATATATAGTATATATAGTATATTGTATGTACTATATGGTGTTTATAGGGTTATATAGGACGAAAGCAGTGCCGGACTTCAATTCTGCTAGCACCAATTCGCGGCCGTCTACACATAACTAGGGGGCCTCTGACTATAAACAGGGGGACCCGCGGGTGGGGGGGGGGGGGGGGGGGGTAAGGGTACAGGGCCTAACTAAACCCCAAGTACCGAAATGACCTACTATTGGGTGCTTCGGTCCCGGGAACACCGCAAGGAACCCTAAACCCTAAACCCTAAACCCTAAACCCTAAACCCTAAACCCTAAACCCTAAACCCTAAACCCTAAACCCTAAACCCTAAACCCTAAACCCGCCCCAAGGTCGTGCGGCTCTTTCACTTGGTGTAGTTCTTTCGTTTTAGGGTTTGGGTTTTGGTACAAATCAAGGTTTATGTTTCTGCATGACAAAAACACATGTACACATATCTATAGTGTATATCCCAAGAAAGGGACTTGCAACAACAGTAGAAGGATCTCCCAGCTGTTTTTGAAGTTCCACCTGCGAATGCTCTTGGGCGAAATGCCTACGCCCTCTTCTCATCACACGGCCCAAACTGTACCAGGTACCCTAAACCTCAGTTTCAGCTGCCGAAAACACCTCAAAAACCCTCAACAACTCTACTTGCAACACACACCCCCAATCCCTCGAAACTTGAACTCCTAAACCCCGTCCTGAGGGTCCACATACCTGCTTGGGCCTTAAATTGCCTCCTATTTAGGGACTTGCGAAGCCCCGAAGCCTAAACCCTCAACCCTAAACCAGGGTTTAGGGTTTGGGGTTTAGGGTTTAGGGTTTAGGGTTTAGGGTAAACCCCAAACCCTGAATCCTTGAGCCTTGGACGCCAGGGCCGCTACACCTGGGAGCGCTGTGGAGGCTTCGCGGCAAGCAGAGCCCCTGACAGGCCGAAGTGGTACACCTTGTATTTCCTGCATGGGGTTAAGGTTTGGGGTTTAGGGTTTGGGGTTTAGGGTTTAGGGTTTAGGGTTTGGGGTTTAGGGTTTAGGGTTTAGGGTTTGAGCCAGAGTGGGCCCTGTGATTCGTTTTTGTTTCGGGCCATGTTGCCTTCTGCGCTCCACTTTAAGCAAAGGAGGCCCTCTTTATTGGCGTGTGTTCATGCATGGCGGGCTTTCTCTTTGCTGTTTTTAGGATCACGGCAGTATTTGAGAGACCTTCCATTCCTGTGGCTTAATGGTATCTAGAAGGTTCCTTCGCACAGGATGTGGTCAATCAGGGGGATCTAGCAAAATCACATCATGAATGATCGGATTCATGATGATTTCTGGCTTCAGGGATCAAGGTCTCAGGGCGTGACAGGTTTATAGGGTTCAAAGTTTTAGGCTTCGTGTCTTCGTCCCTGGTTGAGTCGATGCAGACCGGGTGCAAACAAAAAGGCGTTCGTGTCGCAGATGCAAACAAAGGCTTTGGTTTCTAGTTGGGGGTGCTGATGAAAACCTTTGCTCGTGGGCGGCTTCTAGGCGTGAGTTTGAGAGGGCCCGGTTGTTGAAGGAAAGGTAGCGAGACGTCTCAAACAAGTCCCCTAAGGAATGGAGGTGGTAGTGACGGCCCCAGTGGATGAGGATGTCACCAAGAAGGATATCAATGCCAGCTGGTCCCTGCGACAGGTGCCCGTGGGCCTCGGGCAGTTCGGGCGACGGAATTTGGATTTTGGTTCAGGAATCTACGGCAAAGTCATTGTATGTATGCATGTATGTATGTATATTATATTATATTATATTATATTATATTATATTATATTATATTATATTATATTATATTATATTATATTATATTATATTATATTATATTATATTATATATATATATCTGTATATTTTTACATCTATATGCACATCTTTTTGTGCTACTTCAAGCAGGGGCTACGTGGGGGTTTGACGTGGTCGACGACAAGTGACATCACGTTTGTTGCCTTGGACTGATCTGCAAACCACTTTTGCTAAGGGTAGTTATATGGGCCCTTAATATGGTCCCTTACCTCCTTCAAAGGGGTATGTGAGGGGTCCCACGCAACTACCTGCAGAAACCTTTTTGAAAGCAACCTGCTTGACCCCATTGCATTGTGTCTGCATTCAGCTTAGGGTTCTATGGGGGGGGCAAGTGTGGAAATGTAACGCTTCTTGGTGAAAGGCGTCGCTCTCGATCAGGGGCGAGGCTCTCTTCGACGGTGTCCCGGGCTGCGAGCTCGATGTGGATGAGTGTTTCTGGGAGATCGACGAGGAGCGAGTCCATAGGTAGCCCAATGCTTGGCCAAATCTTGAGCAAGTCCGTACGCAAACCCTGAACCCTAACCCTAAAGCGCGCAGAGCGCGCGTGCCTAAACCCTGAAGCCTAATCCCCTGAACCAATGCATTTCCCTTGCTCGAGCATTGACAATAAGCTGCTGATCTTCTCAGGAGGGGTTTAGGGTTTACGGTTTAGGGTTTAGGGTCCTGCCTCCCAGCTGATCGAGCAGAGTCTGGGTCCAAAACAGGGTTAGGGTTTAGGGTTTAGGGTTTAGGGTTTAGGGTTTAGGGTTTAGGGTTTAGGGTTTAGGGGGAGCCTTTCGGTCCAGGAGCGACTTGCTAGGGTACGCGGTCCCTTAACATGGTCCCTTGCCTTCCTTTAAAGCGTTCTGAAGGATGGGCCCTTGGGTCTATTAAGGGTTTAGGGTTTAGGGTTTAATTAGGGTTTAGGGTTTAGGGTTTAGGGTTTAGGCGCAGTCCCCATTCAGGGTTTCCCCATTCAGGGACCATGAAACCTCCATGAGACACTTGGGATCTCGAGTGAGCTGCAGGACGACGACGGAAACAAGAAGCTCATGATTCACCTGGCCAAGATGCTTGCTTTAAGGTTTAGGGTTTAGGGTTTAGGTTTTAGGGGTTAGGGGTTATGGTTTAGGGTTTAGGGTTTAGGGTTTGTTGGGCTTCGGACTCGACTTTGGCGTTATTGGGGTTACTTCAGTTTGAAGGAGTTTTATTTTGGGGATGTTTGAGCGCTTACAGGCTTTGGAGTTTCATGTACAGGCTCTTACAGGGACAGGAGCACGTAGGACGCAGGAGTTTGGCGCGTAAACTCAACCCTAAACCCTAAACCCTAGACCCTAGACCCTAAACCCTAAACCCTAAACCCTAAACCCTAAACCCTAAACCCTAAACCCTAAACCCTAAACCCTAAACCCTAACCCTAAACCCGCAAAGACGTCCAAGGAAGGGAACGCTGTCCCGATGGCCGGACACCCTCATGAAAGGATAGCCGAGCAGAGGCAGCACGCAAGGAATTTCAGGCTTAGGGTTTATGGGGTTTAGGGTTTAGGGTTTAGGGTTTAGGGTTTAGGGTTTTTGGCATCCCTTTCAAGCCCAAGTAGAATCGAAGTGGGTACATGGACCCTTTGGGATTCCGAATCCTTTGCCTGAGAGGCCACTGGCGTTGGCACGTGCTCCTCAGGCATGCTACAACTCAGTGAGAGGGAGTAAGGCAGAGCCGTGCGGATCAGACGTCCGGCATCGCATGTGCCAGTACGCCATGGCAGGCAAACTCCCCAAAGCATGGCATTCTGGCGCAAGCCATGCGCAGGAGGTTCGTTAGATGGCACCGGGCATCAGGACATGCAGCCAAGTCAATTGAGGGCATCTGATTGGTGGCATCCTCCGCCCGAAGCCATAAACCCTAAACCCTAAACCCTAAACCCTAAATTGAAACCCTACACCTTCAACCCAAGGCTTGAACTAAGAGGCTGGATTTCCTTCCCTTTGAAACCGAGCCCGCCCAGATGGTCAAAGCACCGCGATGCCACTGGAGCAGGATGTCGATAAGGGTGGTCCTTGTGTTGTACTACTACTTGCTTCAGAACCCCGAAAAAAAACAAAAATGTTCTTCCTCATGAAGGGTAACATGGGGACTTTTATTTCTATTTGTTATTCTTTTGGGGTTCTTAAGCAAAGAGTAGAATGTGAGCTACCCAAAGTGATGGGTGCTTCATGTAGGGGCCTTAATGATTAGAATAGGGTTTGGGCGGGTTATTGTAGTATAAATCAAAAGGGATCTAGGGAATACTTGTAGTGATTATTCCGACCCCTATATTACCCAAAGTGGGTGCTTCAGTTGCCGCCGGGTGCTTCGCTCCACGTGTGACTACAAAGACTCTCTCAAGGTCACCATAGGCAACTGCCAACGCGTACAAAAAGGCATGTTGCTTGCGACTGCTATACAGTAGGAAATGACGACGATGTTTTGTCAGCATTGCTTTTGCCAACTTCGACACAGCCACCGCAACCTTCAAACCTCAGTTCCGAAAGACCCTTGCTGCATGGTCCCTTAGTATGGGCCCTGAAAAAGGCGCACCATATATACCCGTGATATATCCTATACAACCCAAGGGCCCATACTTAAGGGCCCATATGACCTCCCTCAGAACCAAACCCTAGAAGCCCTCGACCCCAACCCTAGGGCTCCAAGCACAGAAATAATAGCTGCCCTGGGGTCTAATGTCTGTAAAGAATACCTACTTAGGGCTATTTGGAGCCTTAGGGCCAAGGAAACCCTAAACCCCAAGCCCCAAGCCCCAAACCCCAAACCCCAAACCCCCAAAACCCTAAACCCTAAACCCTAAACCCTAAACCCTAAACCCTAAACCCTAAACCCTAAACCTCAGTTCCTTTGCCGCAGGTGCCCCGGGCCGCCGGCGCGAGGCGGCCCCAGCGCAGGATGCCGACACCGCAATGGCCCGGGGCGGGCGGAGGGGCAGGGTTTAGGGTTTAGGGTTTAGGGTTTAGGGTTTAGGGTTTAGGGTTTAGGGTTTTGGGCTTTTGGGCTTTTGGGCTTTTGGGCTTTTAGGGTTTTAGGGTTTAGGGTATAAGGTTTAGGGTTTAGGGTTTATGAAGGACGACCAAGATCCAAGACCCGACCCTAAACCCTAAATCTTGCTTTGGCAGGGTATCCCAGAGGGTTCATATGAAGCAGGGTACATATCTCGGTTTCTGGTGAGTGTGTATAAGGTTCCTTTTTAATATTGGTGAGTGCATATACCTGGTGTCCCTTTGGGGGTACAAGAAATATATACCCTACCTCATATACACATGCAGTATATACTTGCGCTTTCTTAGTAGCTGAGTGAGCACACTTTACACTTTTTGGGATACTACAATCCCCTAAAGAACTAAACGTGCACACTTTTTCGGGGGCTTATGAACTTAGCAACTAAGCTTTAAAGGGGGCTCCTATATAGCAGCTTTAGGGCCCACATACATTCTATATAGGTACATGGACCCCAGGCTTACATTAGATTTTCGTGCGTGGGCACCAGGTTCGTTGTTTATTGCAGCCCGCAGGCGACGGAAGACACGCAAATGGGCCCAGCGGAGCAGCATCTTGGGCAGATTGTTAGGGGTGTCGGGTTTAGGGGTTTAGAGTTTAGGGTTTAGGGGTTTAGGGTTTAGGGCATCTTTGACATCTGGGCCACCCCTCCCCCCCCCCCCCACCCGCCCACGCGTTAATCAAGAGGACCGGAAGCCTTACAAAACCCTAAGCCCGAAACCCTAGACTCTAAACATGCATAAATCCCAGCCCTGCGGCTTTAAAACTAATCTCTGCGACTCACAGCTGATTTCCCGGAAAACTTGAACCTTGAACAAGCCTTTCGCTGGAAAGCTGAGCACTGAAGCCTTCAAACCTGAAGCGCATGGGGCAGCAGGGTTTAGGGTTCAGCCTTCAACCCTAAACCCCATAGGGCTGCAGGGTTAATAGATGCTTTGAGGGCTGAGTGGGTTCGGGTATGAACCTGCCAGCCTAGTCCCTGACCACCTCTTACACCCTAAACCCTAAACCCGCCCTTCTCGAGCCAACCACTTCTTCCTTTCTTGAGACATATGTCATGGACCGTTTGCGTCCTGCAGAGTGGCTGCAAGGCTGCTAGGCAGGTGGCAAAAAACCCTGAACCCTAAACCCTAAGCCCGAAGCCTAAACCCTAAACCCTAAACCCTAAAACCCTAAACCCTAAACCCTAAACCCTAAACCCTAAACCTAAACCCTCTCCCCCCCCCCCCCGAATGATTCTCAGCTCATGCTCTGAGGCTGATGGAGGAGGATGCGGCTCAAAAGCACCTCATGGTTGGGCTTTGGGGGTTTTATGGGGCGTAGGGTTTAGGGTTCAGGGTTTAGGGTTTAGGGTTTAGGGTTTGGGGTGTAGGGTTTAGGGTTTAGGGTTTCGGGTTTGGGGTTTGGGGTTTGAGGTTTTTCCCTTGGGGTTTGGGGTTTTGTGCGGCTTGGGGTTTCGTGGGCTTGGGCTCGCAGCATGTTCTGCGACTTCTGCGCATACTTCTCCGTGCGTCTTACCAGCCAGAGAGGGTGACCCGAAAACTTCGTGATCTTAACCTCATAAACCTTGGCAGCCCAGTGGTACCCTTTTCCCTTTTGTTGGTTCAAGGTTCCCTTATAAAGTAACCAACCCAAACGGGTGCCCTGATTATAAATGTGGTTACTGGGCTGCCAAGAAACTTCCTCTAATGTAGTGTTCTTAAGGGTTTAGGGTTTAGGGTTTAGGGTTTAGGGTTTAGGGTTTAGGGTTCTCAAGGGAGGGGGGGTTCATGGGGGGCTGGGTACCTAGGGAACCTGAGGGCAGCTTCGGGAGCCCTAGGGAGTAGTGGGGAGTATTGTAGGGAACCTTGAGTCGCAGACCCCCCTTGAACCCCCCCTCCCTTGAGAACCCTAAACCCTAAACCCTAAACCCTAAACCCTAAACCCTAAATCCTAAACCCTAAACCCTAAACCCTAAACCCTAAACCCTAAACCCTAAACTCACGGGTTTGAGACTACGATTCCGCCAGAGATGCCTTGAGCAAGGAAGACGTGGCCTTCGAAGCCCTGCTGGAGAAGCGTGTGCACCAGGACTACGACAAGGACGGAGGTGTAGGGTTTAGTGTTTAGGGTTTAGGGTTTAGGGTTTAGTGTTTAGGGTTTAGGGTTTAGGGTTCAGGGCAACTTGGCTTTGGTCGACAGGTTCCTCGGCCGGCAGGAAGGGTGAATGGACCGCACGTCATCTATTTCTGGTCATCGTCGCAAGACTCTGGCAAAGTCCTTCCGCGCAAGGTGCGCAAGACCTGAACGAAGCCGTCTGTACGCATGTTATGTCTGATTCCCGACAAGAAGAGAGAGAGAGAGAGAGCTAAGCACCCACCACGTGCAGGCACACCCGTGCCCACACGCACACACACACACACACACGCACGCACGCACGCACGCACGCACGCACGCACGCACGCACGCACGCACGCACGCACGCACGCACGCACGCACGCACGCACGCACGCACACGCACACGCACACACAAAATTCTGGTTTTTGGTTTACTGTAGCGAGTGCCAGCAATCTGATAGTTTCCAGTACTGAAGGTAGAAGAACGAAAAGCCAAGAGGAAGTGGATGTGGATGATGTAGAACAGAATCGAATGCATGGAATGTGTTGTGCATTTCCGTAGGTGTTGTGGATGGATCGCTAGTGTTATGGTTGTTGGTGGTGTGCCGCTATAAGGTGGCTGTAGAAGCTTTTTGTCCGTTGCCCGAGGCTTTGCTTCCGGCTGTTCCTTCCGTTGCTTTGCGAACTGCAGCTTAAGTTAAGCTTCCAAAGGCATCGCGGGCAAAAGCTGCGGAGAAAGCTATGACGTTTCTCCAGTGTACCTTATACAGTACCCAAAGAATCCTAAGTACCTATATGGGGGACACTCACCTTAACCATAGTCGTCATTCCTATTACAGAAACCCCTACTTTGTACTATGTAGGTACTTAGGACCCTTTGGGGTACACATATAGGTTTAGCTTTACACATATCCAAATTACGTCACATACGGGCCTTGACTGAGCTCCACCTCAGAAGGAGAGTCCTTCTACGCTCCGTATACAGCTAATTTATTCTGGGGCCCTCTCCCACACACATACACGTATACACATTAAAACCCAAAGTATATATATATATGTATATATGTATATATCTATAGGCATATGTATAGTATACGCAGCATGTGCATATGCATTATGCATGTACATGTTTTTTTTGTGTGTGGCTTGTCAGGCTGCCGTTTCGGTTGCAGATGTGTGCAGGAGAACATGCGTCTTTTGCGTGACGTCGACAAGTCTTTGCGATTCTCTGCTTCTGGTGCAGAAATATGCTTGTGAGTGCCAGCCTCTGAAGGATTTCGGAGACGACTTTGATGATGATGACGTGTGAGGAGCGATCAGTGTCATGTTAGTAAGCGGCCGTG